GTATATGTATATAATGGTATACTGGCACTTGATCAGGTAGCAATATAGGTCTGATTGACCGAGATATGCGTATTTAGTTCGAAACAAATCCCAGATTAAATATATCTAAAGTCGAGGTACACATCTGTATATGTGCATGCACATGTACTTCTGTACATATACATATACATAATATACCTATAACAGTTGTTCCTACAGGTATATCCGTGCAAAGACACAATTGAACTAAGAACAGTAAAAATCGTGGCACCACAGAACCCTTTCCGGGGTATATAACTTGCCACGTACCATCCCGGTGACGGTGCAATATATATATGGGCTATTGAACTTAGACGTATATCCATACCCTGATAAACTCAAAACACTAACAACACGTACAAGCCCATCACCATTAACCTAAAAGTTCGTCTACTTGGCACATACGATCCAAATGATGGAGTCACTGAGGTCATATGTACGTATACGTATACGTACATGTATGCTATACAATATACCATATACATATATATATATATATATATATGTATATATATATATATATATTACAACCACGATACACAACCGCGTATTAGATCAATGAAATCCAGGGCAAGGGAGAGAGAGAGTGTGTGTGTGTAGTTGCCACATACCATCCTGATGATGGAGTCCCCGAGGTTGCGTCAGATGGTCTGTGCCGAAACTGTGGGTTTGTTGGCGGTGGCCGTTGATACTTATTCTGTTGCTGCTGATAAAAATAGAAAAAAAATGGCGAGTGCGTAAATTGGTTGGTGATAGCTATGCTGCTGCTGGGGGCAAGGCAAGTTGTTGGGCTTGGGCTGAGTGAGTCCTCGGTCAGGTGAGTTGGCCTGGAATGAAGCAAGCACAAGACCATGGGTGACATATGGGGTGTGTACGGGCATGTGCTTACACATGCTGCTAATAGGAAGGGTAGTTGCACGTGCTTAGTAGGCGTGTCTCGTCGACTTAGGTGAGAGTTATATGTTGGCTTAGGTGAGAGTTATATATTGGCCTAGGTGAGAGTTATATATTGGCTTAGGTGAGAGCTATATATTGGCTTAGGTGAGATCTATATATCGGCGTACGGCTGGTCTACACATGGATCGCTACGCTACCAACACCTACCTGTTGGTACCCGGAGTATTGTCCCCCGTAGTTGGGGTTGTTGTACTGTTGTCGTCGCTGCTGCTGCTGTTGTTGTTGCTGTTGTTGCTGCCGTTGTTGTTGTTCGTGGTACATCTGTTGTTGTTGCGCTTGGATTAGAGCGGCGTCGTATAGCTTGCGCTTCTCCGCGTCCTACAAAGATTTCACGCGAAGCGACATGATTGCGATGTTAAAAGAAGGATATTGTGAAATTTGCAATGTAAATAGCATTACAATCACAAATGGAGAGAGAGATATATGTTATTATTGACGAACAGGCTATCTTTGGGATGCAAGAGAACACGAAAGCCAGCACAGTAGGACACTTTAAGGTAATCGCTGGGTAACGATGGCAGACGACTTGGCATAGTACACCCCATATGCGTTAACACACACACACACATTATATACAAAGATACATAGTTGCAAACACACACATACACACACACTCACACACACACACACACACACACACACACACATATATATATATATATATATATTGTATTAAATATACACAATACCTTACAGAACGCACCAACGCATATATATATATTTTCAGGCTTTATGATATATCACAAACAGATACACACAAGTAAATATACCAGTGAGAAAGTAACAACACACTCAGCACTCAGTCAGTTCAATTGCATATTTATTAAGTCACGTATTTCCATGCATACATGTATATTCAATTTGATTCTTGACACATGCAAAGACTCATTTGAATACCTTTAAATGTACATCATACTTCAGTACAACCCTATTTGTTAACGCATTCAAAGACCCATTTGAATACTTTTGAATGTACATACATCAGTACAACCCTATTTGTTAACGCATTCAAAGACCCATTTGAATACTTTTGAATGCACATACATCAGTACAACCCTATTTGTTAACGCATTCAAAGACCCATTTGAATACTTTTGAATGTACATACATCAGTACAACCCTATTTGTTAACGCATTCAAAGACCCATTCGGATATCTTTGAATGCACATCATGCATCAGTACAACCCTATTTGTTAACGCATTCAAGTAAATACCATACATACCTTCAGAAGTTCAAACGAAGCCGAGACCTTTTTGAAAGCTTCCTCAGCTCCCTCGGTTTTCGTTTTGTCTGGGTGCAGTTGACGGGCCAGTCGCCTGTACGCCTTCTGTATGTCTTTCTCCGAGCAATTGCGCAGCACTGAGGTATATATAAATAAACCAAGATATGAGATGAGAGTAATATACGTATAGAAATACTGCTTGCATTGATTTACATACAGAAATCAATCGAGATACGTGCTGAGCGTGATATATACACATAAATACTGCTTACATTGATTTACAAATAGAAATAGAGTACCCAGTTGTGCGATGAGTCTATCTAGATGTATTTGTAAATGCGTATTGAATATAAATATATACAAGATGCATTTGTGAATGCACTTTCAATATACATATATACACAGCGGTGAATTATATGTGGCATAGGAGTTTTCGGGTTGTTTGGGTGCAGTCACCTTTGAGTCTTCTGTATGTCCTTCTCTGAGCAAATGCGCAATAATAAGGTGTGCATATATACGCAAGAGATATGTAGTTAATTGTATATATATATATATATATATATATATACGTACAAAGGCCTACAGTACACTACAAGCGTGTGTACAACAATATACTGCATCCCAATTCATTTCATTTTATTCGGACGTATCTATATCTATGAATGCTGATATATATATCAGATTTTGTATGGTTAGACATGCCTGCCTACATATCGTAGATATTATGGCTCTCGTTGATGCGCTATATGACCACTTGGTCTTGAACCTGCATACTATTTCCATACTAAATAAACATAGCACACTCACACTTAGCTATACGGACACATTAATCTAGACTTGCCCAGTAATATATATACATATACATATATTCAAGAAGCGAAGCATACCTGCCAGCACATCGTAGTGGGTTCGGCTCTCGTTGATGCGTTGTATGACTACTTGATCTTGCAGCAGGTGGCTACTGCTCTTGGGCGAGGCAGCGGGTGTCGATGGCACGCTTTGGGACTTTTGTGCATCTATGTTGTGAGCAAGTGTAGTAAATTTATTCCGTGAGCAAGTATATAACGTGCAAGTAGTGAGCAAGTATAATACGTGTCTCCCGTGAGCGAATTTAGAAGGTGCATGTTGTGACCAAGTATAATACATGTAGTATAGTAAATGTATTCCCTGAGCAAGTATATAATAGGTATGTCGTCCGCATCTGACTCACCATTTTCTTGCCAATCCCAACACCCAAATACCCCAATATATCGTGTGCTAGAATGTAGAGTGTCCACGTCGTCCGTAACCGAGAGACAGAGT